AACCTTGTTTAAAGAAAATTCCTCAACACGTGTTTAAAAAGTAATATATCTCTTCTACATCATTTTCCCTAGATCAGTTTCATCCTGCAATGGTTTTATAATCGCCGTACCGGTGCATAAAGCAGATTAAAAACATTGTACCGAACATTCCGGAGAATCAAGCATAAATGGCGCTCGTCGTCGCGACGGTGCTATAGCGCGGGAACTTTAACATCCTTTGAGGAAAAATAGTTACTCTTCCGCGATCCGATCAGCATTTAGCTTGCAATGCCAACAATAAACTGAAAATGAACGACAATTCAGCCTGTGCAGTAGGACGGCGGCTCTTTTTAAACACAGTAAATTTCCAGAGTCGCTCGACACATGACCAAAAATAAACCTTCGCTATACGAAACCACAGACTTTGATTTGAACTACACTTTCACGACTTTGTAACATAACCTTTCCTGGCAAAAAGCCTGCTACTCACCGTTGTTGCTCGCTTATTCAAAGATCAGCACCTCCGTCGTAGACACTGAAACACAACAACAGAACAGTCTCACTGTAATGGTCAAATATTAAACATGTTTTTAACCTTTCTCGCAGTGCATTCTGGGAAATCCGTGTTCAACTCGTGCGGGACACATTACATCCTGGCAATAACAAGACAATTTATAAGTCTCCAGCAAGGCAAAAATCACAGCCAAAAACTTCGTTGGCCCTCTTTTCTTATGTTCAAACTAATCAATTTGCCCCTTATTGCCTGCTGGAGACTTCTTCACGGTGTGCAGAGCTGGGCAGAGACGTTATACACCATCCACCGGATGGTCTCTCGGATTGTGCCCGAAGCTCAGTTCTTTGAGCAACGAGCGCCCATTTAAGCCTTCCCGGACTTAATGATGTCCCAGGCACTTTGCAAACCGTGGAAATAGAATTTCTTGCCAAACTCGGCTCATATTAGTCCCCGTTTCGCACACGCTCCGATCAAAACCTCTCCACTCACGAAGAGAGCCGTTGAAAGGAGAAAGATACCGCGCAAACTCGAACCTTTCAAAACTAGAACCGGTTCCCCTCGGACAAAAAAAAACCGGAAGTCCTTCCTAATGCGAGTGAAAAGAAAACAAGAAATAAAATAAATAATAAACTTACTTCTGTTGACTTCCACGCTGCTCCTCCCTGGTTTTCTTTAATGAAAAATATCTATGATAAAAAATGGCATTTCATAAAATTAATTTACATATATAATATACACCGTAATTTTTAGGGAGTTATTATAACTCCAAAAATGGAGTAAAAATTTTAGGTACAGGATAACCCCTTTTTTGGGGTTATTTTAACTCCTAATTTAACTCCGAATTTGGGGTCATTTTTACTCCTGAAAAAGAGTTCTTTTTACTCCCAGTCTGGAGTTAAAATTACTCCGAAATGGGGTTACTTGTACTCCTTACATGGGTTGTTTTTACTCTTTTTGGAGTTAATTTAACTCTGAAAGTGGAGTAAAAATTTTAGGTACAGGATAACTCCTTTTTTGGGGTTATTTTAACTCCTCAATATCTGGGGTCACTTTTACTCCTGAAAAAGAGTTCTTTAAACTCCTTTTTGGAGTTAAAATAACTCCACGAAAAATAACTCCACTGTAAGGAGTTAAATTAGCCCCACTAGAGGAGTTATTATAACTCCCTGAAAATTACAGTGTGTGCACCAGCTACATTTAGGTTTATTCAAGAGAGAATGAGTTAGATCATTCTCTCTTGGTTTATTGCAGGAGCCACAAACACCCGTTGTGGAGGTATCCTCTCCCGGCAGGCGTTTCTCTTCTCAGTTTGGCGCTCACAAGTGTACCTCGGAGGCTTTTGGGTCTTCTGTATGCTATAATTAATGGTGGTTGGTGAAATTAATTAACAATTAATGGTGGTTGGTGAAAGATGTGAGCTACTAACCTTTCCTTCGATTGGAGGAAGTACCAGTGTCTATTCGCTCTTAAGCTGATAAATGTGGTATGGGGATTGTGAGAAGTTACTAGGGGAATACGATTGGTCGTTCCCCTATCCCTGGCGCGCAAACTCTCTTCCTGTGTGAGCGAGAGAACTTTTCGCATTTGTAGCCGCAAGCGACGATAAAATTGGAATATTCCATAATCCTCTGTTCTTGTATGTCGTTTGATGAGCATATCCTCCTAAGTCTTGAGGTCTGGCTGTATGGAATGCTGTATTTCAAATGTTGCGTATTCACCGAGTAGGTATGGGTGGGTGTGGGTGGGTTCCTGGTACACATCCGTGTTGATGTCACCCATCGAATTCCTTATGACCTAGGTGTCAAGAATGTTCACGGAACTGCAGGGGATTTCGTGCGTAAATTTAATCAGTGGTACCACGCCGTTAAGGTACTCTATAAATGCTGTAAGAGAGTCTTTGCCTCCATTCCAAATTAGAAATATATTATCGATGAAACGTAGCCAGTCAATAACATAGTTAAACCATTCTGTCTGGTGAACAAATCTATCCTCTAGTCGGTCCATGTATAGATCTTCGAAGTTGGGAGCAGCTCTGGTGCCCATTGCGGTACCCTTAACTTGTATCAAATTCTACAAAACTGTTCAGTTTTTTTAAATCTTCTGATGAAATCTATCAATGGTATCTTTTATGTGTGACGGCAGTTTTTCTGCTAGCGGTCTAAGAAATACGTCCACTCAAACTGATTGTTTCTCCGTATGGCTATTCAGTAACAGAAGAGAAAACCGGTCGTCCCGAATTGTTGGGCTTATGGATCTTGGGAAGCATGCACATCGGAGTCTTGAGTTTGTTGGCTTTAGAAGTTGGCCAGTCCCCCTCTCTAATATAAGTCTCCATCGCTGATAACTGATCAGTTCGTCAGTACTCTGGTTAATCAGTTGTTCATAATCCGGAGTGAGATCTTTTTCTACTTTTTTGCAATACTCCTCATTAATCAGTTGCCGCGTTGGTATTAGTCCTTGGCATTAAAAATCATTGTTGCTCCACCCTTGTCTGCGGGTTTAATGATTATTTCTCTGTTCTTACTTAACCTTTTTAAGGCTGTTTTCTCGCGTCAGTTTAGATTATCACGCTGGAATCATTGGCGATTCGATAATTCTTTCTCGATGTCCTGTGTTAATCCGGCTTTCAACGTAAGAAATTAAGTACGGTTCTCTAGATGGCTCGTAGTAATATTACCTGCGGTCTCTTTGGTTCAATTTCTCAAGTACTGAGGGTCGGCAACCTCGTTCCCAGGGTTCTCTCCTACCCGCCCTCTCTCGCTCCGTAGCTCGGGTAGGATAGAACCGTGGAAACGAGTTTGGAGGGTCGGCACATTGGTCGCGGTTCAGTATCATGAGCGTTATCAGGAGCATGGAACTCCCTAAGGTTAAGCCTTCTGACAAAGGCATTAATGTCCTTAATAAGAGTTTATAGCTTCGGTGGTAGTGGAGTGGGACAAAAATTCAAGGCCTTCTGTAACAAATTAGTTTCCGACTGGGTCAGTTTTAATGAAGATAAGTTAACTATTCTCCTATTAAGGATTTCAGCTTTCGTTATAGTCTCACTGTTTTTTCGTCTATTCGTTTTCCTTTATTCGTGGTTCGTTTCCGTTCCAAAGTCTCACTACAAATAATATTTTGCCTTCTGTTCCCTGATGCGTTTAGTCTTTGTATCGGCTTCTTTGAAATGGTGGTCGGCCTAAAAAATTACGGCCCTGTGCTCGTTGTCGCCCACCTCCCTGCTGTTGGTGATATCCTTGTTGTTGCCTGTAGCCACGGTTATACCAGGAACGTCCAGTGCGTCTGGCTTCTCTATCATTTCGCTGATTGTACGCATCGTTATAGTTGCGTTGTTCCTGTCGTCTATTATGCACGCTGTTGTTCTCTTCGTCGCTCGGAATCTCTTCTTTTCTCGTCGCCCTCCTCTGGATTCTCTCAGTCTTAAGTGTTTCTTGAGAACGTCCGCTTCAAAATACTGCAACAGATAAAAAAACTCTAGGGAGGGGTTCCATCAACCCCCTCCCCCCCTTTGCACCTCGGTGGTGGTATGACTCCGATGGTTAATTTCATTGTTTACAAAGTGGCAGCAGCTTTGCTTTGAACGCCTTTTGCAATCCATTCAAGTACGGCTGGAGAAGTAAAGAATTCAGATGCTCTTTTGAAAACTGTGTGCGAGAATAGACATACCCCCATCCCACGGAGGGTAACAGAAATTCTCAGGAGAAGGGGATTCAAAAGGAAGCATTGTCCGAGGAGGATTACTTCTCGAGGTCTTCTTTCGGGGCTCCGGTTTCTTTTGACTCGTTAGTTTCATCGAAAGTCCATGACAGGCTATGTTACTAGGAAATCGCGTTAAGTGTTCGAAAACACGGAAGACGGATTTATTGAGGCCATGTCGTAGCAATTTTAATCCGGTGATGGCATCGAAAGTTGAGAGTCTTGTTTTCTCCTAGACTGCTTTAGACATTTCACTGCACTAGATGATTATGGTCGCAGCTTTTAACAGGACAACTCGGATTAATATTAATCGGATTAATATTAATCCTAATGATTATTATAATTCAGTAATAGATTATTATAATCCGGTAATAGATTATTATAATCCAGTAATAGATTATTATAATCCATTACTGAGGTTTGAGCCGTGCCTTGATCAATTAGGATTACTATTAATCTTATGTAGGATTAATATTAATCAGATTAATATTAATCCTAATATTAGATCCAGTAATAGATTATTATAATCCATAACTGAGCTTTGAGCCGTACCTTAAACGATTAGGATTGGCGGATCTGTTTGTTTGTTAATTTGCTTGTTTATGTTTGGCGTGTAGGCTTTCGTATAAGGAATATTTGCCATATGTTCTTCGTGACAAGAGATGTAGATTATGTTGCAAACTGTAGAATTAACTGAATTGATAATTAAATGACACCATTAATTTAATTCTGAATTTTGCTTTATTTAGTTTACATGTATTACAGCGCATTACTTTCCTGTACAACAACATCATCGACAGATTTTACATGTTCATGCTTCTGATCTTCTCACTTCAAAGTCACTGAAGGCGTTTTCTACTCGCTCGGCATCCCTTTCATTAACGTTAAACACCACGCGTACTTTGTGAGCTCTTGCTGGTCGACCGGAATCTCCCCTACTCCACTTTGCATCTTCAACCACTAAGCTAGGAATAAATGCGAAGCTACGAACATGATGCCCCACCATAATTAATTGTTAAAACAGCTGAAATATTTTTTTCGTGAACTTAACATCACATACAATATACTTACCATGTCAGTTCCCAGATAATATTTTCACCCACGAAGGGCTCCAAGAGACGGGAGAAATTCACGTTTATAGTCGCCATCGTGATATGCCGGCTCCGAACCTCGAAACAGTTAGTGTCTTTGGGATTGTCGCGATTCCTACGCAGCTGGTAGTTATTCCCTTTCTTAAGGTCCCCTTTCTTGTAAAAACACATGCCCACCGCACGGATTCGCTGGCCCAGAGGCGCTTGTTCCTTTTCATTTACTTCTAGGCTCAACATCGCTTCCAGCTCTAACATATGCAAGTGATCGTGTGACTGATGTGATCAGTGTTATGTCCCGTCAGTCCCTTGTTCAGCGTGTAATGTCTGCAGTTTGTCTGTCATAGCTCTGATCTGGATTATAATAGAGATTAATATTAATCCGGATGATTATTATTAATAATAATCTAATCCTTCCAATTTTTGCCGTGCCTTAATCTATTACTGGATTATAATAACCTATTGCTGGATTATAATAATCTATTACTGGATTATAATAATCTATTACCGGATTATAATAACCATATTATAATCTGTTATTATTATAATCCACGGATTAATATTAATCCGAGTTGTCCTGTTTTAAGCGCTGTAGTTTTTAACGCACAAACTTAATTTCTCTCTCTCTCTCCCTCTCTCTCAAGATCAATTCGACTTTTCCATCATCTGCTGTCTGTCCATAACTTTCTAATCATAGCTTCTAATGTCAAGTCTAATTTGTCGTTAATTTCAAAGGCAAATACAAGGAATGATGCTTCTGTTTTCTGCCTCGCATGATTAAAGCGTTTTAATTAAGCGCGCTATAGATTCAAAGCAAAGGTTGATGTTTACAAGCCATGTTATGAAGCTTGAAGCCATAGCGGTGCACAAGTTAACTACTCAAAAAGGAAGCTCGGCTTTAGACTCGTTTAATAACCAACAAAAATGTATAAATCAGAACAGATTTAAATTGATATATTTTTTATCTTTTCACGCCAAAAAGTAAAAAGAACGTCCTTTTTTTTCAAATATTACCCCGGAGATACAGAGAAAGTACCGTGTTCGGGACTTCGAGTTTTTTTATGGGCGAAAGTTAAAGCATGAGAGCTATCCCTTTCTTGTCGTATCAAAAATTTTTGCCATGAAAACCCGTAACATGCACCGACAAGCTGCCTCGTGGCCAATGAGGATGTTACAATTTAAACCTGAATCTTAGTATGACATTATTTTTCAATTTTTGCACTGTATTTGTAAAATACATCTGTACTCTGACAGTGTCTGACATTAGGGAGTTTAAGATACAACGACGCGGACGTGACGAAAGCCGACCGGAAGTAAAAATACCCAAAATGACTACCACTGCGCATGATCGTGACGTAAACAAGCCGCGTCCTTGCTCAAGACGAACGCGCTGAAGACCATTTTGACGTTGTTGACAAACTGTAAGTATTTCAACCTATTTTGACTTATTTAAGACAGTGAATTGGCACTTTTTGTTTGTATATTGAAAGCTTAATTATCCCGGCTATATTCCTCACGTTTTTTTTTTGTTGTTGTTTCCTTTCAGGCTCAGTTGAACTTGCGAACAGTAAACACAAGAAACATCAGTTGCCATGGCCTTGAATTCCAAACCGCAGTGAGTAGATTTTTGCATTCTTCGTTCAGTGAATTACGGCTAAAGAAACAAAACGATTTGTTGTATAAAAGCAATGTTGTTCCCGATTATTTCCTTCTTGTCGAAGATTTTCCCATCCTGATTAAATTTATTCACAGATCTTGGTTACTCGCATTACGCTTCATTTTGCGGGAATTTAATTCACGCACTATTTCCCGCAGAAGTTGTGTGAGATTTTAAAGAAAAGACAACAAAACAAATTAACAGAAACATGTAAAGGACTATGTTTGCCAAATAAGTGCCTCTGACGGCAAAATGTTTGCTTTATTAAGCAGTTCCTACAGAGTAGCGGGTTTATAACTTTACACACACTTGGCTTGGCCAGCCGACGTCCAAGACTTTGCCGCTGTAAACGATAGATTCAAATTATTTTCTAAAAGTGATTTCCGCATATAGTACAACATTCAAGGTTTGCTTTAATTTTCTTGTAGCTGTGCACGTATATTAAAAAATGTATATGTCGCTTATTTTTGTCGGCAGGATTATGAACTGGACGGAGGAACATGATGTGGTTTTTTGCCGAGAAATAATCTTTGTAAACCCATTCAGTGCAAAGAAGAAATCCGTTCAGCGAAGTGCCTTGTGGCAAAGAGTGGCGGATACCCTAAACAGCATTAAAGATCCTGTTTTTTTTTGTGGATAAACGCTCAGTTCGAGACCATATCGGGGTTTTGGTGCAAAGATTTAAAAGAAAAGAGGCCAAGGAATTGAAGGAAAGTGGTATAAGCCCTACGAAAACTGAATTAGATGAAGCTATAGAACAAATTATTGCCATGGAAGAGTCTGCCGATGAGCAGCACGACCTGGAAGACGGCGAAAAGAGGGACAAGATGGAAGGAGACAGGCTGAAAGCAGAAGAGATGCGCAGAACTGCTATGGAGACATTAGGGAAAACACAGAAGAGAAAGTCCGAGGAGGGGCAGAGCAAAGCGAAAAAAAGCAGAAGAAGTGGTAGTGAAACGGTAGAGTTTCTTAAACTAAAGGCGGAGCAAGACATGGATATTAAGAAGCAAGAATTGGATTTGAGAAAACAGGAGCAAGAGAAGATGGCTATAGCCCAAAATCAGCAAACTTATATGTTCAACCAAATGTTAAAACAACAACAGGAACAGCATAAACAAATGCATGACATGCAATCCTTACTAATGCAGCAGCAGCAGCTGCAAACCACAGCAATGATGAAGATTATTGAAACACTAGTTCCGAAATAAACAAACTCGGTTTTTTTTTTAATTCCTTGCGGTGCTTCAGGTCTCGGTTTACTTTGTTGTTATATAAACTTGAACTAAGTTGGCCTGGACTTCAATCCGGCGAAAGACAATCAGAACTGTAACCGTGTTAGATGTTTAATGACTGGAGTTTGGACTTTATTTCCACGTGTTTAGAAGGTTAAAAATTTACATTTTTCATGACTGGATTTAAATTGATGCTGACAGCCATAATAAAGCCAAGTTATTCGTTGTGTTTAATTTTATTTGACATTGATTTACTTTTCTTGGTATCTTCCCATATAAACGCAGAACAGTTTTTAGGTCTTATGTTGGGTGGTTACAAAACAGCATGATTAGGAAAAATAATGCTCTAGAGAAGGTGGATCTAGGTCAAAAAACTGGGATGTTGAATTACCGTACAAGCATGTTAAAACATTTTGAAGGATTGCACAGACAATGTACATTTTGCCTACTTGGCTTAGCCCTATTTTTAAATTCCGTTTGAAATCAAGAAATTTGAAATAATTTAAAATATCAGAAAAAAGCCATTCAACGGAACAGCGAACTGCACTCATGGAACTGTTGTAAGCTTGCTGTTGGGGAGTCAGTATTCGCTGCCGGAAAGGTCCCTGGAGATGCATTCGAAGGGGATATGCTGGATCCCCGTATATACACATCGGTTGGCCAGTTGTTGAGACAGCATGCGCCCTGAGACTGTTGTAAAGGCCAGACTCTGCCAACATTGCTGCGTCATGCCTCCTACCTTCTGTTTAGACAAGATAAGAAACTTAAGTTAATAAATAGAAATCAGTGTTGATATGTTATCCATGCAGTTTACTTCTTTACTGACAGAGAGTGGCAAGAGAAAATGGGCCGGTGGGGGTGAGGGTGAGGGTGGTCAATGGAAAAGCCCGTGAAATTCGAATTTGCTTTTCTCACAATTGTTTTAACCCTTCTTCTTATAATAAGCATAGTAATTGGGAGGAGACTTAAGAAAGAGTAAGTAATGAAAGCAATTTTAGATCTTCCTAGTAGGTTTGTTTGTAGGGTAACTGAAGTGGAGGCTTGCAAGCTAAAATATTATTTTTAGTTTGTTAGCAGCGTGGCTTACCAACTGGACCATACAAGTGTGCAATTAACCCATTCGGTAGGACCAAGGACTGAAACTTTAATCCATGTACGCGTTTGTGACCGTTGTAGAGTAGTCGCTGGTTTTCCCCAGGTCGAGTAATTGGGCGCACGGTTCCATCTACGAAACCAAAGCAATTGCTTAGTGGCGCACCTTTGTTGAAAACAACTTCCGCATACTTTTCCAGCTCCAGTGGATTTAAAATGGTTTGGTTCCACTGCGTGATTCTGTGGCTATGATGCGCATAAATCCAGTCTGTTACGGTGTTGCTTATCATACAAAGTTCTGGAACCGGTCGTCCAAAAATAGGTATCATGTCGGAGTACCGACAAGGAAAGGCATATCGCTTTAAAAGCATACAAAGCCCTTCTGTTCCTTCGCAAACCGTTCCCTGGTCGCATACGAAGAATTGCGGAATTTGAAGAACATCTTCTACCAGAGGAATGTGGTGCTTTTCAACCCTGAAGTTCGCCCTACACTCAGCTTCACTTTGGCTCTCCAGATTGAACGGCGGGTAGTTGTCGTAAGGGAAATCTAAGTTGCTTGAACTGTTTTCTTCGAAAAGTAAAGAAAATTCCTCATCCGTAATGATACCACAGGCATAGCTAGCAAGCAAAACTTCTCGGGTTTCTTTAAAAGTCGCCATTTGCACTAAAAACACTAATATAATTAGTATCTGTTACTTCGGAGAGAAAAACAAATTCGCTACTTTTCTTTTCTATCAATAAGTGGCCGCGTCGCTGAATCCCGCCATCTTAACTTATTTTTCCCGCCACAAACACGGCGTCCTCGACACAGGCCCCACGCGGCTACGGCGTCTTTGATGACGTCCGCGTTCTTGTATCTTAAAGTCCCTAGTATCAATAAACAATATACTTTGCAGGTCGTTATCCAAACAAGGGAGCATTCATTTTGAAATTTATAATATACAAATGAATGTAGGTTAAAAATCCTTTCTTAATAAAACTTGGCCTGAAACTTTTGGTCCAAACCCGTTTTAACACTAAAACGTTTGTTTTCGTTCTAGAGTATAAGTTTAAGACGAGAGAAAATAATATATATTGTCATCCTACAGCCGTGTGTAAATGCTAATGTTGGGTTATCTAAAGATGCAAAATATTCATGTGTAATCAGGTGATCAAAGCTTTTGTCTAATTTGATCATAATCGGTAAATGCTTAGCGACTGAAATCTACTTTCATTTTCATTAGCAAGCTAAGCTTTTAATATATCATGTCTAGAAATTTCTCATGTAATCACGAAAAATGCTGTTCAACCGAATCTCAAATGAATTGTACAGCAACACGTTGTGGCCCTTCTATGGCGAAGGTAATCGGCCTGATAAATTTTCATATGATTTTGGCAGTCCTGGCAGTGTTTGGCAGCTACCTCGTGATCAGAGCGTTTCACAAATTTTTCAGACTGCGGACAGAGTCCAACATCATTCTGGTCAGTTTGTCCGCGGCGGACGGTATCCTGGCGATTCCTTTGATTCTGGACGCCATCCATAGGATTGTCGATTTAAGCCCTCAGTTCCAAAGGAAGCATCAAGCTCTATGCATATCAAGCGCAATTATCTGCTTCTTCCTCATCTCGGTTATCATTCTTCACTTGGCGTTAATCAGCGTGGAACGTTTTATTGCCGTCATGTGGGCTTTGAGGTATCGCACAATAGTCACCAATCGCCGTGCAGTGATCGCGTGCATCGGGATGTGGCTGTGGAGTGTTGCCGTGGTATTTCTTTTTCCAAATGCGATGACAGCTGGCAGCAGCGACGACTTTGACCATTTCCGCCAAGCGATCCATCCCTGTTCTTGCAGTCATGATGGCCCCTTAGATCATCACCACCTGGCTCCGTCAACCAAAGGCTATCTCGTCTTCTTGATGATAACATTGATGATCATACCTTTGATGATCATTGTGTTCTCCTACGGCTACACCTTTGTTGTGTCCCAGCGGCACAGAAAAGAGATCAGAGAACTGGGTGACATTCCAAGAATGGCTTCCATCAAGCGCGAAATGAAAGGCACCAGCACACTCGCCATTGTTGTAACCATCTGCTTTTTCAGTATCATTCCGTTGTTGGTCGTGACATGCGTCCGTTTTTTTGGCGTGCCTCCAAAGCGAAAGTATGTTAAGTTCATTGTATTCGACTTAGCAAGGGGCTTGAACGCCATCTGCAATCCTGTTATCTATGGATGGAGAAACAAGGAATTTAGAAGAGCTTTTCGAAAGCTCGTAAAGTGTTATAAATAGTCCAGGAACTCCTACCCTTCAATTAGACAAGATGAAGTGTTTCAGAAAAATCAATGCTCCTTTTAAATCCTGAAAAACAATTAGTTGGTTAAATGTTGTCTGTAAAGTCAGGACAAATACCTTTTGAAGAGCATCTAGAGTAGTGTATTAAGAGTGATTTTCTGTAGAATTCGAACTTCGGCCTGACACGGTACCCATCGATTTGGCTGCTTTTCGGCATGTGGTCTTAGAATGGTGTCCTAAATACTGAATGCATATTCTAAGGTTCGAATCCTCTTTGGTTTCAAAGATACAGGAATGACAGTTTTGACGAGGTCTCGAGGGGCAGCGATGTTGGTGAACTGAACGAGATTTACAGTAATTAATTCTAGCCTTATCATTAAAATAACTTAATCATGACTCATACAGTTGGAAAGAACTAGCCTTCCTCCCTTCATTTACCTACTCTTATCTGAAAATGGTTAAGCCTGAGCTACGAACGGCTGTAACTTCTCACAGCACTTTCTCGGTACTTGAAGGTACACAAATTTGGTAGAAATTGAAAGGTCAATATCACGCATGCCACATCGATTTAGACTAAGCCATTTTAACTAAACATAGTTTGTTTATAGATAAGTTAGATTGTTGAATAAAATAATTGGGCAAATGCAACGGAGCAGAAATATATATAATTGCATGAATGCGCAATGGTTCAGCCACTTGGCCGCTAAAACTTCCAAACAAAATTCGGTGAATATTTGAAAAGAAAATTCTTTAAAAATTGATCGTGCATCTTAAAGCCTATCTATCGCTTAAAAAACCCTCCCTTGTAATGTAAAAGGATGATCTTTTGATTCTGATCTTGCGAAGAGCTTGAAATATGCGCTAAAATGAAAATTATAAATTTTGTTACACACGGTACTAGCTCAAGTTCGCTCTTCGATTTGCCAGACCAATAGGGAGCAGTTCGTGTACTGCACAGTTACAATTTTCTCTGTAGTATTTCGCTGTATACAGCTACAAATTACATATTTTGTCAATTTTTATCAAAAGGCTAGAGAAACAAACCGAGCACTATGGAGGCCCGTTCTGGTCAAAATTAATATAATAAAATGGCATCGCAAGTGACTTTCTTGGCCAGTGCAGCATTTATTATGGACCCGTTGTGTATTTTTGTCATCACTACACGGTGTTGAGGCCTCAAATGTAATGAATGACCCAAAATGTAATAAAGCTCCTTAGTGTAATAATTTTTGGCCCTAAATGTAATAAAGGTCCTAAATGTAATAACTTTTGGCCCTAAATGTAATAAAGGGTCTAATTATATGTGTAATAGGTTTTAGCCCTAAATATAATGGAAGTCTTAACAGTATACATGTATGTAGTATAACAGCCCCAAACTTGATAAGGTCTCTGACTGAAACATGCGACGGTCTCTTCGCCCTATTGTAGTCTTCATAGATATTCATTAACTTAGAAAGCGGATAGAGCCCTCGAGAAGTAGTAGAAACACTTATAAATTAACTACGTCTCGATCGTGTTTCCTACTACATCCCTACATTGTGAAACGTGAGTTATAAACAAATGGAATCTACACAAAAGTTTTCAAAATACAGTAGTAATTTAGTAATTGAAGGACGTATTAATGTTCATTAGAACAATCGTAGTAAATTAAATACTTTTGCCTATGGGGTTTTTAATGTTGCGCCAAAAAAAAGAAATGTTTTTTATTTATCATTTTCCAAAAGAGTATGTCGGTCGGTCCATACAGAATGCTGTGAACACGAAGTTATATATAAACAGCAAGATATTAAGGGCAGTATATCTTTATAGTTACACTACAGGCTGCCTTTGCCTATGAAACAGATTTTTTAGTTCAATCCAGTGGATGAAGTTACAGTTTCTTGAGAAAATTTTCTATAATAAACGAGGCTTTTTCGTTTTGTTACATAAGTTTTAAGATACGTCAGTCCTTTTTTGACATTAAAGAGCCGAGTCTTAAAAAATTTGCTTCATATCATGGACCTCTGTTTNGAAGTTATATATAAACAGCAAGATATTAAGGGCAGTATATCTTTATAGTTACACTACAGGCTGCCTTTGCCTATGAAACAGATTTTTTAGTTCAATCCAGTGGATGAAGTTACAGTTTCTTGAGAAAATTTTCTATAATAAACGAGGCTTTTTCGTTTTGTTACATAAGTTTTAAGATACGTCAGTCCTTTTTTGACATTAAAGAGCCGAGTCTTAAAAAATTTGCTTCATATCATGGACCTCTGTTTTTAAGTTATCGTTAAAGAAGTATTATTGATAACAAAGCTAACTATTAAAACCTATTTACAATTAATTACTATTCGGTCAAAGGACTATTTACAATTCACTTCGATTAAACATTCTTTTCAGTTAATAATGACAAGAAAAATAACAGTGATAATGATATCAATAACTGAATAATAAGTTGTTTCTCAAATGGCTATATAGGGGATCTGCCTGGGGTATTAGTGTTTGATATTCCCTAGACACATTCTGGCGCTCAGTTAACCTGTAATAGGGCTAAAAGCAAACGCTATGAAATCGTCTTGACTCTAAGCATATAAAAAGCTGAAAGAATTACACTTAGGACCTTTATTACATTTAGGACCAAAAGTTATTACACTTAGGACCTTTATTACATTTAGGACCAAAAGTTATTACACCTAGGACCTTTATTACATTTAGGGTCATTTATTACATTTGAGGCCTCAACAGTACATATCGATCCGTTTCAAATATTGACAGAAGAATCCTAAGCAAAAAAGAAAAAGACAGTTGTAGTCAGTTCTTGGTCTGCGGGCACGTGACGAGGCGGCCATGTCGGTATTCAATACAACGAATTTTTTTGTAGAATTTACATGAAATTGCAGCCTCGTTCCCAGTCGTCCTAGGCGATTTCGGATGTGACGTCACCCGTCAAATGAAAATAGAGTAAGTTTATCCCAGAGGAGAAAAAATGCTTGTGTTGCTGATCACCACTATGGCGCCGTGACGTCACCTGCAAACCAGCAATTATAGCAGTTTAAATTGAATTTATAAAAACGCAATAACTGTACTTTCTCGGTCCTACCTTAAAAATAAAAGTTATACAAAAGCAAATTAATTTTACCGTGGTGAAAACAAAAGTTGTTGACGCCTTTGTTTTACAGTGAAAATCTAACCTTATTTAAGGGCCTGTTTACATGGAGGTGGGGGACCCCAAGCAGGTGAGGTAAAATATGGCGGGTCACCCCACCTATCTTGTAAAAGTGATCAAATTAAAATGAGAGATTATATGGACAAACGGGTTACCCCACCTAGCTAAGCGGGTTACCTCACCTACCTGGGGTCCCCCAGCTCCATGTAAACAGGCCCTAAAGAAACAGAATTTTGAAGCCAATTGACACAAGCTGTGGGTTTAAAAGTCTCGAATAATAAACAAAAGGCCATTTGCACGATAAATACCTCTTATTAGCCGAGTTTTCGGTCCGTACTGTAAATGAAGGACCGAGTTTTTTTTCATCGATTTATGGCCCAAGCGCGAAGCGCGCGGGCCATAAATCGATGGAAAAAAACGAGGATCCTGTTTTGGGGACCGGAAACAAGTTCAGGACGCACGATTTGACAGTCATTTGACAGGTGTCAAAAAAGAAAGTTTTTATTGGCGCACGAAAACAATAGCAAAACAAAGGCTTTCCGAGAAAGTAAAAACAAATTCGGCATGTTAAAAAAGTTTATTTGGTCAAACTAAGAGCACTGTAAGTTTTAGCTCTTTAATGTAACGCTGGAGTATTTTGGAAACCGGACACTGTGTCTGTCTAAAAGTCTTTTCCATCTTTCCTCCGTTTGTCCTTGTGAAAAAACACTAAAAAAACACTGCAAAAGGCAAAGAAGCTTTTCAAGGTAAGTTTGTTGTCATTGTCGAAGGATTCGCTCGTTAATTGTTTTTGGGAAAACCTCTCTTTCTGCCAGTTCATTCTCGTCTTCAGTTGTGATCTGCGTTCAAATTTTCAAACACTGACTAGAATTCTCTTCCTCTGAGAGGTTACGATTCAGTTTCTACAACAGCTTCGTTCTCATTAAAACAAAGCTAGGTTAAAATTTGGAAAGGCAAAGTCAACATCCCAGTCCAGGGGGTTTACATAATATTTCAAAGTTTATTCGCTGGAAACTAAGAGCACTGTAAGTATTCACTCGTTAATGTGACGCTGGAGTCTTTTGAAAACTGGACATTATTGTGTCTGGCTCGAACTTGCTTCTATTTTTCTTTCGTTGGTCTTTGAAAAAAACCGACTGCAAATGGCAAAGAAGCTTGTCAAGATGATCGGGTGCAGGTATGTTTGTTATCATATTTGTTGAAGGAATTACTCATTTTCTCTTAGGCAAAACATGTCGAATCTCTGCCAGTCGATTTTCGTCAGCTTAACTGTGTACTACAATAAAATTTTCAAACACTGACTAGAATCCTCTTCGATAAGATTACGAGTAAGTTTCTTCATTGCCTTTAATCAGAAATAAACACAGTATAAAATGTTGAAGGCCAAAGTTAACATCCAAGTCCTCAAGGTTGACAGTNGGCAAAGAAGCTTTTCAAGGTAAGTTTGTTGTCATTGTCGAAGGATTCGCTCGTTAATTGTTTTTGGGAAAACCTCTCTTTCTGCCAGTTCATTCTCGTCTTCAGTTGTGATCTGCGTTCAAATTTTCAAACACTGACTAGAATTCTCTTCCTCTGAGAGGTTACGATTCAGTTTCTACAACAGCTTCGTTCTCATTAAAACAAAGCTAGGTTAAAATTTGGAAAGGCAAAGTCAACATCCCAGTCCAGGGGGTTTACATAATATTTCAAAGTTTATTCGCTGGAAACTAAGAGCACTGTAAGTATTCACTCGTTAATGTGACGCTGGAGTCTTTTGAAAACTGGACATTATTGTGTCTGGCTCGAACTTGCTTCTATTTTTCTTTCGTTGGTCTTTGAAAAAAACCGACTGCAAATGGCAAAGAAGCTTGTCAAGATGATCGGGTGCAGGTATGTTTGTTATCATATTTGTTGAAGGAATTACTCATTTTCTCTTAGGCAAAACATGTCGAATCTCTGCCAGTCGATTTTCGTCAGCTTAACTGTGTACTACAATAAAATTTTCAAACACTGACTAGAATCCTCTTCGATAAGATTACGAGTAAGTTTCTTCATTGCCTTTAATCAGAAATAAACACAGTATAAAATGTTGAAGGCCAAAGTTAACATCCAAGTCCTCAAGGTTGACAGTCGTCTTATAACTTTATTTAAACATTTTTTCCCGGTAAGAGATTTAGACCTCCGAAATGAGCATTTTCTTTAAAAATTTTGGTCCGTATAGCAAGTTACGGACCGCACATTGAGCAATCGCACGGCGAAAACAGACTCAGCCATATAATAATGTCTTTTTAAGGGAAGAATTCATTTCGTTTTTTTCTTTCATATCCAAAGTTGGTAATCATAGCGAGGTGTGATTAACAAAAGCCCAAATTTGCACGACAAAGCTGAATGCAGCTGGTGAATTCAAACTTTGTAACTATTATAAGTTAAGATCTGATTATGTAAAATAAAGCGGGATAAAAAGAATGCCGGCCAGCAGTCAAAGGATGGCCACTTTTGTACGCTGAACCTCATGTGCTCAGAATTAAAGGACAAGCACGTGGTTTCTTTCGGAGAAATTTAAGACATCAGAAATCCTTCGGCAAAAAAGAAGAGAACAAAGAAAAATATTTGTACATCGAATAATTAAAAACTGAGAACGCTAGCTTGAGTACGTTATAGATCTAACTGCCAGTTAGCGGAGCAGATGAAATAATTTAGTATACTGTACATTTATAAAACGCTGGAAAATACGTATTGTTCACTTTGTAACAGTATTGCCTTAATACCTATTGTAGTAGTTAAAAGTCTTAACTTAATTAATTGCTTCTATGCCTCTTGATATGGCATCCCATTTTAAACATCACCTGCTAAGCAATTTAAACATGTTATCCGAGCTTTTTACTAATGGAAAAAAAGCATATGACTTTGACACAGTTATTTTTGCAGTTGTCAGAAAATGTAAATAGAACAAAATATCTCTCATATCTTTATCTGAAATAGAGGGCTTTAAATTTGTTATTTTAGGCACGAGTTTATGTTTATCTCATATTTTTAAATTTCTAAAGGATGATGTTATGTAATTTCTTTTATTTTAAGAAAGATCGCACGGTATCACTGATTTATGATGCGCCTTTAATAATTGGAGTTTGCTTCACATGTCTTAATCCATAAACAATAATTGGTACATTGTGAAGAGCTAATTTTGCTCAACCACAAGTGCTGGTGACCAAAAATTGAAAACTGAAAAGTGAGCATTTCCACTAAAAGTTTCGTATTAACAGATGCAGAGCCTGTGGAAAGGTTCCCGATCTTCGTTGAGGGGTAGTACGAGAAAACACGAGAGAGCACAAGGCAACAGTTTAATGCCGTTTACGTCTCATGCTAGAAAATGCTTCCTATAATCAGGATAACTGCTGCTGAATGAGTAAACATGAACTCCTCGGCGAAAAGTTGTTCCAATCGCTTTTCTGGGAACGAGGCACTTATGATTGTGCGGATAAGCGCACATGCAATTCTGGCAGTTGCAGCTATTTTTGGCAGCTACCTCGTGATTAGAGCCTTTCAAAAATTTGAAAATCTTCGAAGGGCGTCCAACATAATCCTTGTGAGTTTGTCTGTCGCCGACTGCCTACTAGCCATTCCGTTCATTTTGGACATCATGCACATGTTTCTGAAACTAAGTTTTAGTGTGAAACAGAGTCAACAAGCTTTGTGTATATGGAGCGCAAGTTTAACCTTCCTTCTTATTTCGGTTATCATTCTTCACCTGGCGTTAATCAGCATGGAGCGTTTCATTGCCGTAAAATTCGCTTTGAGATACCATATCATAGTGACCAATCGCCGGGCAGCGATCGCTTCCATGTCGATGTGGTTGTGGACTGCACTCGTTATGGTTGTTTTGCCACACACTCTTCAAGCCAATAGCAGGAGCGACTTTGAACGATTTCGCCAAGCGATTCATCCGTGTCTTAGTACTCGAGAAGCATGGCCAGACCGGGATCTGCCATTGCAAACTAAAGTGTACCTCATCTTCGTTGTGATATCTCTGTTAGTCATCCCATTGTTAATCATCCTATCTTCGTACTCCTATATCTTTATAGTGTCCCACAAGCACAGACGACACATCGCAGGGCGGGGTGACTTCCCAGGAATGACCACCATCAGGCATCAACTAAAAGGCGCCCTAACCCTCGCCTTCGTGGTATCAGTATGCCTACTCAGTATCACCCCTTTGCTGGTCGTGACATGTCTGCGATTTTTCAGGAAGCTTCCCGACTGTCGCCATTCAAGACCGAAGCATCTAAATTTCATCGCCTACGTTGTTGCAACTGGTTTAAACGCCATTTGCAATCCTCTTATATACGGATGGAGAAATGGAAGATTCAGGAGTGCCTTTCGCAAACTCCTGGGGTGCGATCAGCAACCCGGTTAAGACAGAAGATAGTTTTCGTTATAAGCTTGCTTAGGTAAATTAAATACTTTAAACTAGCTGTAAGAATTTCCACCTAGGGTCATCGTTTTATTGTCGCTCAAGAATATTTTCTATGCTGTTAGAAGAGAAAGATGGCAAAACAAAACTTGGTTCAAAGATGCTTTAAAAGCGCTCTTTATAGTACAAATAAATGCTGTAGTCCAATTTATCTTTACTTAGCCTTTGTCTATGATAATAGACTTGAAAGAAAGGAAAATACTAAGGTGGCTCGACCCAGTATTTTTGTAGGTACACCTTCCATCTATGAATCTCTCAGGCTTAAACAAATTGATCTTTTTTGCAAAAACATTCAGTAACACATGTATTACGGCTTTATTATGACATTATTTTTTGGGCAATCGGAAAAAATATCATGTGGCATTGACGTCGCAATAGTTTTAGCTCTAAACTGAATTTCTACCCTTATCGGCATTTTCTTTGGAAATGCTTTAAGCTACCTGTACTTAGGGTGCTTGTCTTCTGTTGTGCGAATTAAAGTTTCACAAAAATCCATAGAGGAAATTCGAGATATCTTGGAATATCTACAAAAACGGTATAAATTACGCATGAACTGAAGGTGGCACTAAATGCAGACAAATTCGCTACCTTATTTCGGAGCTTTCCGAAAAGTTTTTATCACTGCACTCATTCGATTTGCAAATGAACTTTATACACTCTACAACCAGCTAAACGCAATTAGTAGATTTCGAAAAACAAACATGAAAACATGTGAATCAGTAAAACGCAATAGTGAGCTGTAATTTCTAAAGCCTGGTTTCCATATGATCGTCCGGATCGTCCCGATTGTCTCAGTCGACTCAAATAATAGAGACCTTAAGTGTCATCGTCTGAGAAAGTGTTCCAGGGGCCAAAAGTTGTGGTCAACCGATTTGGCTGAAACTTGGCACAGAAGTTGGGTATACAGAGATATTTCAAAAGCCACTTGGGCTCACTTCTCTGAGTTTTAGTTTTAAAGTTACAGGGGGGGTCTCATTTTTTGCCCTTTGAGCACCAAAAATCCAGCCTTCCAGGGGGCATTTTGAAAGTGTGATAAGACCCCACTGGTAAATTGTGCTGTCAAATGAATTTGACCATGAACTCTACTATAATAGAGCTTTCAGTTCATGCATGTAACTTTGTCCTCAAGGTATTGCACAGAGAGGAGCCTGGGGCTAGAGTTTGGCCAAAATTGATGTTAAAATTACAACCCAAAATAGCCATTTTTCAAAACTTCACTTTATTCACCTGCCTTCTTGCATAACTTCCAAACCTATACCACTGTTTACTTTAGTCACTCAGTTATCAAAATCAGTTGAGAAAAATTTGGCTTATTATGGTTTATTGAATTTTTGGAACAAACACTTCATGCCCCTCTAAGGCGATGCAAAATGGAATTTTGAGCCTAATTCAGGCCATAAACAAACCAAATTGTTGACAAGAAACCCTTATTCTGTATTTGGTAAGTGAAAATGAATTGTCAAAGCCAAACCAGTTTTGTTGTTTAAAAATACATTGATTTATTCCCATGTTAATTTCCTGGGTCCTTACGAAGAGCACTAAACATTCAACAAACTCATCGCAGCAATATCTTTATGTAACTTTGTAACTTGTAACTTTATTTGATTTGCCACAAAATACAAATAACGATAAAATAAGACAGTTACACAAAAGCAAATGAAAGTGGCGAGGAAGCCCAAAAAGAAACCATGAGGCTTATAGACATTGGGCTCCCTCAGAGTAAAAATACAGTTAACAGTAACAGTAAGGCCAGGATCGAAAGTAAAATACAATGAAGGTAAGTATAAATTTAAAAAAATAATAATAATAATAATAAAACAATAAAAAATAACAATAATAGAAATAACTTGAAGGCTATTTTTTGTCTGCTTGAGCTATTTGTTTACATTCAGCTTGTCACGTGGGCACGCTTATCAAGCAAGGCTAAGTTTGGCAATGCACAATTCGAGCCAGCTTGCATTGAAACTCCACCGGTCTCCTTTATTTGCCTGTTTCGTCGAAGACAAGTCAACTTAAAATAGGCTTAGCTACATAATTGCGCAGGAATTGTTTTGGGAATTTTGGACACGAAAAAGAAATTATTTTAGAAAATCTCACGAATATTAGAAAAAAAATTGACAAATACTAGAACTTAAATAGCAGTATATATAGGAGAATACTGAATAGCAACATTTCACAGGCAGAATCGCTGAAAAGACGTTTTTATTTTTCTGCATTCCTACCAACCAAGAGAGGGCTCAGTCCACCTACATGCTACAACAGTGTCTAGAGTACTGTTCACTGAGCACAACAAATCAGCAGTTTTCATCAGAGGCTTCTACACTACAACTAATCAGCCGTTATTCACCAAAAGAGGCCCTCGCTATCAAAAAAGAAAAAAAAATTTGAGTTTTTTTTAGGGAATTTTAGAGAGTTTTAGCAGATAACACTCTTATTTAGGTATATTTTTTCATTATTCTTTTAATTGAATAGTTAACATTATTTTAAATAGTTTTTAAATTAAATAATGAAACATTTTTTTCTACAAATATACACAAATCTTCCGCGTTCTTCCAGAACGATTCAGAGTCAGTTCCCATTCAAGTATGATATATGTGTGTTCATTGCCTATGCATTATTCCAAGCAAATCCAATAATATCAACTAATTAATTCGGTCGATTTTGCTACGACGTTTTAGTGACATTTTCTCCCTGAAAATGTCAATTTCGTCGAAAAACTTAGATGCAGCATGTTTGCAAAGATCTTTGACGAAAAGGGTAAATAATGGAAACCGGTAACTGAATTGTGCATTGCATGATAAGCGTGTGCACGTGGACAAGCTTAATGTAAACAAGCAGCTCGAGCAGACAAAAAACAGCCTTCAAGTTATTCTTATCGTACATAACCTTCCTTCTTATTTCGGTTATCATTCTTCACCTGGCGTTAATCAGCATGGAGCGTTTCATTGCCGTAAAATTCGCTTTGAGATACCATATCATAGTGACCAATCGCCGGGCAGCGATCGCTTCCATGTCGATGTGGTTGTGGACTGCACTCGTTATGGTTGTTTTGCCACACACTCTTCAAGCCAATAGCAGGAGCGACTTTGAACGATTTCGCCAAGCGATTCATCCGTGTCTTAGTACTCGAGAAGCATGGCCAGACCGGGATCTGCCATTGCAAACTAAAGTGTACCTCATCTTCGTTGTGATATCTCTGTTAGTCATCCCATTGTTAATCATCCTATCTTCGTACTCCTATATCTTTATAGTGTCCCACAAGCACAGACGACACATCGCAGGGCGGGGTGACTTCCCAGGAATGACCACCATCAGGCATCAACTAAAAGGCGCCCTAACCCTCGCCTTCGTGGTATCAGTATGCCTACTCAGTATCACCCCTTTGCTGGTCGTGACATGTCTGCGATTTTTCAGGAAGCTTCCCGACTGTCGCCATTCAAGACCGAAGCATCTAAATTTCATCGCCTACGTTGTTGCAACTGGTTTAAACGCCATTTGCAATCCTCTTATATACGGATGGAGAAATGGAAGATTCAGGAGTGCCTTTCGCAAACTCCTGGGGTGCGATCAGCAACCCGGTTAAGACAGAAGATAGTTTTCGTTATAAGCTTGCTTAGGTAAATTAAATACTTTAAACTAGCTGTAAGAATTTCCACCTAGGGTCATCGTTTTATTGTCGCTCAAGAATATTTTCTATGCTGTTAGAAGAGAAAGATGGCAAAACAAAACTTGGTTCAAAGATGCTTTAAAAGCGCTCTTTATAGTACAAATAAATGCTGTAGTCCAATTTATCTTTACTTAGCCTTTGTCTATGATAATAGACTTGAAAGAAAGGAAAATACTAAGGTGGCTCGACCCAGTATTTTTGTAGGTACACCTTCCATCTATGAATCTCTCAGGCTTAAACAAATTGATCTTTTTTGCAAAAACATTCAGTAACACATGTATTACGGCTTTATTATGACATTATTTTTTGGGCAATCGGAAAAAATATCATGTGGCATTGACGTCGCAATAGTTTTAGCTCTAAACTGAATTTCTACCCTTATCGGCATTTTCTTTGGAAATGCTTTAAGCTACCTGTACTTAGGGTGCTTGTCTTCTGTTGTGCGAATTAAAGTTTCACAAAAATCCATAGAGGAAATTCGAGATATCTTGGAATATCTACAAAAACGGTATAAATTACGCATGAACTGAAGGTGGCACTAAATGCAGACAAATTCGCTACCTTATTTCGGAGCTTTCCGAAAAGTTTTTATCACTGCACTCATTCGATTTGCAAATGAACTTTATACACTCTACAACCAGCTAAACGCAATTAGTAGATTTCGAAAAACAAACATGAAAACATGTGAATCAGTAAAACGCAATAGTGAGCTGTAATTTCTAAAGCCTGGTTTCCATATGATCGTCCGGATCGTCCCGATTGTCTCAGTCGACTCAAATAATAGAGACCTTAAGTGTCATCGTCTGAGAAAGTGTTCCAGGGGCCAAAAGTTGTGGTCAACCGATTTGGCTGAAACTTGGCACAGAAGTTGGGTATACAGAGATATTTCAAAAGCCACTTGGGCTCACTTCTCTGAGTTTTAGTTTTAAAGTTACAGGGGGGGTCTCATTTTTTGCCCTTTGAGCACCAAAAATCCAGCCTTCCAGGGGGCATTTTGAAAGTGTGATAAGACCCCACTGGTAAATTGTGCTGTCAAATGAATTTGACCATGAACTCTACTATAATAGAGCTTTCAGTTCATGCATGTAACTTTGTCCTCAAGGTATTGCACAGAGAGGAGCCTGGGGCTAGAGTTTGGCCAAAATTGATGTTAAAATTACAACCCAAAATAGCCATTTTTCAAAACTTCACTTTATTCACCTGCCTTCTTGCATAACTTCCAAACCTATACCACTGTTTACTTTAGTCACTCAGTTATCAAAATCAGTTGAGAAAAATTTGGCTTATTATGGTTTATTGAATTTTTGGAACAAACACTTCATGCCCCTCTAAGGCGATGCAAAATGGAATTTTGAGCCTAATTCAGGCCATAAACAAACCAAATTGTTGACAAGAAGCCCTTATTCTGTATTTGGTAAGTGAAAATGAATTGTCAAAGCCAAATCAGTTTCGTTGTTTAGAAATACACCGATTCTTACCTTAAAATTGATCTAAAACGGGCCTCTGATTAGCGCAACAAACACATAATTTAGCAAAACAAAGGTGATTTTATTCTTTGAAAACCTAGTAACCACCATAGAACACAAATGATGATGTTCTGATGTACATATAACAATCTTTTTACAAGATGCTTAAATTTTTCTTTGATTTATAGTCAGTTTCACGTCATATTTCCAAGCATTACTCCAAGCATGGAAAGTCTCCATATTTTGTCAGGCCCATTTTTTTATATTTTTACCAGATAAATTTAGCTTATCAAAAGGTTTGTTAACATATAATCTTCGTCTGACCTTGTAATAGCCTGAATAGTTGTTTTAAATACCCATCAGCAAAGGAGCATGACCATACATACGTAGATTACACAGACATATACGAGCTTCAGTGAGCAGTATCGAGGTGAACTGTGATTTTCCGAGTCCTTTAGAGCTGAAAAAATGAAACCATCCATCCACGGTTAGGAGAGCTGGATAACAAAAAGCTTGTTTTGCTTTTATAAAGAAAATAACCCAAACAAAGCCTTGCATTGAGATGATGCACTTGTCATTACATCAAGCTAGCTGGCCCGCCATTTTGGACTTGAAGAGTGTGGGGACTGGACCGAGTTCCCGTCCAATCCTTCTCCCGTTTCGCGGGAATTTTTTCTGTTTTTCATCAGGTTTGTTCGAAATTCTAGAAAGCGACCTGTTTCAGGATAATTTTTCGATGGCACTTTATTCCTTTGGAGGGGTAAATGACCAGTGTCACGTCATGGGCTGTGCAAGAAACAGGAATGCTTCCTTTGTTGTCTTGCGGTAGTGACATGACTTCATGGTTAAAGCACAAGTAGAAGGGTTCAGGTGTGTACGGGGAAGAAGAGGAAGAACTGGTGATGCCAAAGCTACAGGTGATTCAAAATATCAGTTAGGGATCATACACGCGCACAAATGATTTTTATCGCAGTTTACCGGACTTTTAGTTTTGCTTGAAGAAAGACAATGATATATAATTTACGATGTTGTCGTCTCAAATTATTGTTCACATGGTTGATTGATTCCCATGTTAATTTCCTGGGTCCTTACGAAGAGCACTAAACATTCAACAAACTCATTGCAGCAATATCTTTATAAAAAAAATAACAATAACAATAATAGAAATAACTTGAAGGCTGTTTTTGTCACGTGGGCACGCTTATCAAGCAAGGCTAAGTTTGGCAATGCACAATTCGAGCCAGCTTGCATTGAAACTCCACCGTTCTCCTTTATTTGCCTGTTTCGTCGAAGAGAAGTCAATTTAAAATAGGCTTAGCTACATAATTCCGCAGAAATTGTTTTGGGAATTTTGGACATGAAAAAGAATTTTAGAAAATCTCAAGAATATTGAATAGCACCATTTCACAGGCAGAAACGTTGAAAAAACGTTTTTATTTTTCTGTATTCCTACCAACCAAGAGAGGGCTCAGTCCACCTACATGCTACAACTGTGTCTAGAGTACTGTTCACTGAGCACAACAAATCAGCAGTTTTTCATCAGAGTCATCTAAACTACAACTAATCAGCAGTTATTCCCCAAAAGAGGCCCTCGCTATCAAAAAAGAATACAAATTTTATGAGTTTTTTTAGGGAATTTTAGAGAGTTTTAGCAGATAACACTCTTATTTAGGTAAATTTTTTCATTATTCTTTTAATTGTATAGTTAACATTATTTTAAATAATTTTTTAATTAAATAATGAAACAATTTTTTCTACAAATATACAGAAATCTTCTGTGCTCTTCCAGAACGATTCAGAGTCAGTTCCCATTCAAGTACGACATATGTGTGTTCCTTGCCTATGCATTATTCCAAGCAAATCCAATAATATCAACTAATTCGGTCGATTTTGCGACGACGTTTTAGTGACATTTTCTCCCTGAAAATGTCAATTTCGTCGAAAAACTTAGATGCAGCATGCATATATGTTTGCAAAGATCTTTGACGAAAAGGGTAAATAATGGAAACCGGTAAATGAATTGTGCATTGCATGATAAGCGTGTGCACGTGACAAGCTTAATGTAAACAAGCAGCTCGAGCAGACAAAAAACAGCCTTCAAGTTATTCTTATCGTACTTGTTTTTTTTTTTTTGGACAAATTTGATGAATGTTTAGTGCGCTTCCTAAGGACCCAGGATATTAACATGGGAATCAATCAACCATAAACAAACAATTTGAGACGACAATATCGTAAATTACATATCGTCGTCTCTAAATCTCTCTTCAGTCAGAAGAGTGCCCTAGATCAAGATAAATGCCATTTGTGCGCGTATATGATCCCTAACTAATATTTTGAATCACCTGTAGCTTTGGTATCACCAGTTCTTCCTCTTCTTCCCCGGACACACCTGAACCCTTCTACTTGTGCTTTAACCATGCAGTCATTTCACTATCGCAAGACAACAAAGGAAGCATTCCTGTCTCTTGCACAGCCCATGACGTGACACTGCACTGGTCATTTACCCCTCCAAACGAATAAAGTGCCATCGAAAAATTATCCTGAAACAGATCGCTTTCTAGAATTTCGAACACACCTGATGAAAAACAGAAAAAAATTCCCGCGAAACGGGAGAAGGATTGGACGGGAACTCGGTCCAGTCCCCACACTCTTCGAGTCCAAAATGGCGGGCCAGCTAACTTGATGTGATAACAAGTGCATCATCTCAATGCAAGGCTTTGTTTGGGTTATTTTCTTTAGAAAAGCAAAACAAGCTTTTTGTTATCCAGCTCTCCTTACAGTGGATGGGTGGTTTCATTTTTTCAGCTCTAAAGGACTCGGAAAATCACAGTTCACCTCGATACTGCTCAATGAAGCTCGTATATGTCTGTGTAATCTACGTATGTATGGTCATGCTCCTTTGCTGATGGGTATTTAAAACAACTATTCAGGCTATTACAAGGTCAGACGGAGAATATATGTTAACAAACCTTTTGATAAGCTAAATTTATCTGGTAAAAATATTAAAAAATGGGCCTGACTCCAAGCATGGAGACTTTCCATGCTTGGAGTAATGCTTGGAAATATGACGTGAAACTGACTATAAATCAAAGAAAAATTTAAGCATCTTGTAAAAAGATTGTTATTTGTACATCAGAACATCATCATTTGTGTTCTATGGTGGTTACTAGGTATTCAAAGAATAAAATCACCTTTGTGTTGCTAAATTATGTGTTTGTTGCGCTAATCAGAGGCCCGTTTTAGATCAATTTTAAGGTAAGAATCCGTGTATTTTTAAACAACGAAACTGATTTGGCTTTGACAATTCATTTTCACTTACCAAATACAAAATAAGGGCTTCTTGTCAACAATTTGGTTTGTTTATGGCCTGAATTAGACTCAAAATTCCATTTTGCATCGCCTTAGAGGGGCATGAAGTGTTTGTTCCAAAAATTCAATAACCATAATAAG